GGGAAAAGCTTCCCCAGCGTCCCCCATCTCCGCCCCCACGGCCCCCAGCGCGCCCACCGCCCGAGCCCGGGCCGTCGCGAGGCTGCAGTGTGAGGAGGTGGGTGGTCGGGGTCCCGGGGCTCGAGAGAAGCGCGGGCCCTGCTCCCCCGCGGGACGCCCGAATTGGACTGTTCCGCGTTCGAATCCGCGGGCAGCGGGCGAATCCATCTTAGGGGGAGGGGAGAACTGTGGGTCTGGGGCCGCGGTGAGGCGGGAGCGCCGGGAGCGCCGGGAGGGAAGCCGTGCCCTCTGAGCTGGGTTGGGGCAGGCGAAGTGCGGGCTCCCGGCCGGTTCTGGGTTTGCTCTGCTGGTTGCCATGACTCCCGGTGGAGCGCCCAGTGCGGGTGTAGGATTGGGGTGTAAGCGCTACTCCAGGCCGGTTCTGCAGCCGGTCTTGGGCCTGGCCCCTTACTCAGTGCAGAGCCCGCCTGTGGATTCCCAGGCGGAGGAGATCCCGAGACGTCCATCCAGGTGAGCGGACTGAGGTGTTGCCTTTCATGCCTCTCTCTCTCCCTCTTGAATTCAGATCCTCAAACTGCAGAGCATCCACACACCCTCCAGGAGTTGGGGCCCAGCTTACTGGGTTCCCCTTGTGCAGCCTAGGGCTCTGTGCCTGGCCACCACAGGCAGGTCAGCATGGCAGAGACGCTGGAGTTCAATGACGTCTACCAGGAGGTGAAAGGCTCCATGGTGAGAAGGGCTTGGGCTTGGTACAGGGAGAGGGAGGGAGGAAGGGTAAAGTATTTGGCCATGAACAAGAGCTTGCTTTGATGGGAAAAGGAAGAAGGAAGAAGGTTCCATGTCATGTGGTTCTGGTGTTGGCCTGCGTAAAAGGCAGTACTGAAGATAGAGCGTCTCAAGAGTTGTAGGCTCTGGGAGTTGGAAGGGATCGTATAAGATGTTCAGTCCCTGGTCTCTTACAAAGCTGGGGAACCTGTGAGGGGTCCCAGATGCCCTATCCAGGTTAGGGGTCCAGCCTTCCTGGTCACTCCTCTTACCCCGCCCCTAGAAGGTTGGCCTGCCTTGGTCATCTGGACAGCCCTCAAAGAGCTGGGATGCATGTTGTGTAGAACTGTAGCCATCGCATGTTGTGTATGGTCCTCCCGAACCTGGGCCTGCTTTTCTGGCAGAACGATGGTCGACTAAGGTTGAGCCGCCAGGGCATCATCTTCAAGAACAGCAAGACGGGCAAAGTGGACAACATCCAGGCTGGGGAGCTGACAGAGGGCATCTGGCGCCGCGTCGCCCTGGGCCATGGCCTTAAACTGCTCACGAAGAACGGCCACGTCTACAAGTACGATGGCTTCCGAGAATCGGTGAGTCTTCCTGTGGCCACTAGCCCCCTATTCACTGTACCATCTTGCTTCATTTTTTTTTGGAGAGGTTTTCTCTATAGGGCTCATGCGCTCGCCAGACAGACAGAGAGAGACATGGAGACAGAAAGGGAGAAATCACCCCCCAGGGGTGATGGTCACGCCGCAATCCCTTCTCCTCCATTTTCCCCTCGGGATCTTGGGCACACATGCACACGCACCGGGTGTGAGTTTTAAGCCACCGGGTCCGGGACGCGAAGCGTGGTCAACTACGTGGGAGCCCAGCGACATAGCCATTATGCTAACTGCTGGTTCCCATCTTGCTTCATTTTAATCTTCTAGAGTGAGTGGGCTCCCTCCCTCTGATTACCATATGAATGCTAATTCTGGCTCCTTACAACAGCCAATGAAGCTGGGACGTGATTTACTAGGATTGAGCTTTTCTCTTCAACCCACAGGAATTTGAGAAACTCTCTGATTTCTTCAAAACTCACTATCGCCTTGAGCTAATGGAGAAGGACTTATGTGTGAAGGGCTGGAACTGGGGGACAGTGAAGTTTGGTGGTGAGTCCTGGGGAAGGTTTGGAGGACAAGGTGTGATGAAGGGTTTCAGCCTTGAACTTGTTTCCATCTTCTCTGTCACTTTCTGGTTTTCTGTCAGTGTGTGTGTTCACCACGCAGCCATCAGGTGTATCAGGCGCTCTGCCTAGCCGGAGGGGTTCAGCAAGACCAGAACAGGCCCCCTGAGCCTTGTTCTCGTGGGATTTGTGGTTTGGTGGGAATGTTGTAACGTGGCTTCAAGGGCAGGAGTCTGTGGCTTGATAAGCCTTTTTCTCACAGGGCAGCTGCTTTCCTTTGACATTGGCGACCAGCCAGTCTTCGAGATACCCCTCAGCAACGTGTCTCAGTGCACCACAGGCAAGAATGAGGTGACGCTGGAATTCCACCAGAACGACGATGCCGAGGTCTCTCTCATGGAAGTGCGCTTCTACGTCCCTCCCACCCAGGAGGACGGTGTGGACCCTGTGGAGGTGAGGTCTCCCCTGCTTACCTTGGGACTAGATGGTTCGGAGAGGATCTCGGCTAGCCTGGGAGTTGGGGCGGGGGGCCTCTTGCCCAGCACCGGTGTGTGTTTCTGCAGGCTTTTGCCCAAAATGTGCTGTCAAAGGCGGACGTAATCCAGGCCACTGGAGATGCCATCTGTATTTTCCGGGAGCTGCAGTGTCTGACTCCCCGTGGTCGTTATGATATTCGGATCTACCCCACCTTTCTACACTTGCATGGCAAGACCTTTGATTACAAGATCCCCTATACCACGGTGTTGCGCCTCTTTCTGCTGCCCCATAAAGACCAGCGCCAGATGTTCTTCGTGGTAAGTGAGATCCCTGGGGGGTGGATAGTCCCGCTTTTCGCCCACGTCTTTAGTAGATGGAGCTCGTTGGTGTCCAGAGTTCTGCACTGA